TGGGCCTTTGTCAAATATCAGCTGCTCATAGGTGGATGAATTTATGTCCGGATTCTCAATTCTGTTCCATTGGTCTATGTATCTGTTGTTGTACCAGTACCAGGCTGTTTTGACTACCGTGCGGTATAATAGGTTCTAAAATCAGTAGTGTGAGGCTCCCCACTCTGTTCTTCTTGAGTAATGCTTTATTTATTCAGGGCCTCTTCCCTTTCCATGTGAAGTTGGTGATTTGTTTCTCCATCTCATTAAAAAATGCCAGTGGAATTTGGATCGGGATTGCATTGTATCTGTAGATTGCTTTGGGTAGAACTGACATTTTCACAATGTTGAGTCTACCTATCCATAAGCAAGGTATGTTCTTCCACTTATGCAGGTCTCTCTGGGTTTCTTACAGTAGTGTCTTGTAGTTTTCATTGTATAGATCTTTTATGTCTCTGGTTAGATTTATTCCTAAGTATTTTATCTTCTTGGGAGCTATTTTAAATGGTATTGATTTGGTGATTTCCTCTTCGAGGTTCTCTTTGTTCGTGTAAAGGAACCCAACTGATTTTTGTATGTTTACCTTGTATCCTGAAACTTTGCTGAAATCTTCTATTAGTTCCAGTAGTTTTCTGTGGGGTTTTCTGTGTATAAGATCATATCATCTGCAAATAGAGATACTTTGACTTCTTCCCTACCAATCTGGATGCCTTTTATTTCTTTTTCTAGCCTAATTACTCTGGCTAGGACCTCCAGCACAATGCTGAATAAGAGTGGTGAAAAAGGGCATCCTTGTCTGGTTCCCATTCTCAAGGGGCATGCTTTCAAAGTCTCTCCGTTTAGGATGATGTTGGCTGTTGGCTTTGTATAAATGTCCTTAATTATACTGAGGAATTTCCCTTCTATTTCTATTTTGTTGAGAGTTTGTATCATGAATGGGTTTTGGACTTTGTCAGATGCCTTTTCTGCATCAATTGATAAGATCATGTGGTTCTTGTCTTTTGTTTTATTTATGTGATGGATTATGTTGATTGTTTTTCTAATGTTGAACCATCCCTGCATACCTGGTATAAATCCCACTTGATCATGGTAAATAATTTTTTTGATATGTTGCCGAATTCTATTGGCTAGAGTTTTATTGATTCTTGTGTCAATGTTCATGAGGGATATTGGTCTGTATTTTTCTTTCTTTATGGTGTCTTTACCTGGTTTTGGTATCAGCGTTATACTGGCTTCATAGAATGAGTTTGAGAGTATTCCATCCTTTTCTGTGTTCTGGAATACGTTTAGTAGTAGTGGTATTAACTCTTCTCTGAAAGTTTGGTAGAATTCTCCAGTGAAGCCAGCCGGGTCAGGGTTTTTTTTTGGTGGGAGTTTTTTAATTACTTTTTCAGTCACTTCTTTTGTTATGGGTTTATTTAGTTGTTCTACCTCTGTTTGTGTTAATTTAGGTAGGTAGTGAGTGTCTAGAAATTTGTCCATTTCCTCTAGGTTTTCAAAAAGCAGAGATTTTAAGTGTTTGGTAAACTGACCTTCAGTCACATTCCTTGAAGTGTTATAGTGTATATACTAGATAAAATAGAAATCTAAATGTCAAAGCAATCATTCCGTATTTCCACAAAGGGACAATATTGCTGAATGCAGTTTTTTTTTTAGACACTTTTAAGCACAATGATTGATGAGTGGTTTCTGAAATCCATAGAAAGAATCTTATTAAGAGCCCAAGGCTGAACCCTCAAAGTAAAGTGGGAATAAAGTACCTAATCAATAATAAATTTCTAGTGTTGCAGACTTTTAAAATGTAGATGATTCTTCGAGGAACATTAATTTTATACAAAAGAGTCTCCTAGAGTATAGTTTCTTTTCTAATAAAATAAACTTCAAATTTTAATACAATAAATTCTATTTGGAGTAAAATTCAAATAACGCAAATGTAATTTAGAGAAAAACAAAAGATTTACTAGTCAGGCTTAAAGGGATTTTTCTTACAAATAATGTGCTAATAACTGCTGTTTTTTAAAATGGTAACAATTTGGTAATGAAAACAAGTTTCTTTTTCTTTTCTAAAATAAACTTGGTACTCTAGAAATTAGCAGATTTGAATTTTAACAAATTATTTATACAATCAATCCAATAAAGAGTGGACCAGAAGCTATCATAAATCTGATTTCATTTTATAAAACTCATGACCAAAGTTGTTTTTACATTATTTCATGTAATTTTAAAACCATAAATTGCTTTCTCAGAAAGATAAAATATCATACGCTCTGAAGAAATCACCCAGAATTGATATTGCTACCTTTAAAACACAAAATCAAACGGCCATACATATATCAAAAATGTCTGAGAAAAACAATAATCATACTCACCCATCATCCAAAGTAAATTTCCTGAAGAAAAACTCCTTAACCCAAAAGGCATAAAATAAAGTATGTTTATTATAAATATAAACTGCTAATTAAAAACATAAGATGCTCAGTAGTTTAGAACATAGCCAAGCTTGTGTGTACCTGGGTCAAATGACCCTTCGTATCATAAAGATGAAGACAAAATAATCATATTTAAGTACTTCTGTATCTCCTGAAGAGCCTTGGTGGCACAGTAGTTAAGAGCCTGACTGCTAACCAAAAGGTTGGCAGTTTGAATCCTCCAGCCACTCCTTGGAAACCCTATCGGGCAGTTCTATTCTGTTCTACAGGGTCATTATGAGTCAGAATTGACTTGACAACGGATCTGGTTTTGGTACTTCCTATAAGGGAAGGTGAAACATTTAAGTGGCTGACAAATTTGAAAAGCGGATTAAACATAATAATCACCGTGTTGGGGGAGTACATAAAAATCAAACAGACTGTATTATGATATTAAAGAGAAGGCTTATGTTATAATACATGAAACTATAGCATTTTAGAAAAGAACATAAAAAGGCAGGAATTAAAAAAAAACTAATATCTTTGAAAACTATCCACGTGGAAGAACAACTCATTTTCAACATGTAAAAGAGTAGAGGCATTAAAATGTGAAACCCAAGCTCAGACAAATATATAGCTACAAGTAAGGGCCAAATCTAACATGCAATCTATAGCAAATGTGAGATGTATAAATAACACTCTGTAAATTAAAAAAAAAAAAATGTCCATTTTGTTGTGTGTGTACCCCTTGCAATAAATTTGAGTCAGCACCAATGACAGCTCTGCAGTTCTCCTATGTGGTACTGATCAGGTGGTTGCAGAGCTTCAGCTCACAGCAACACAATGCAGCTGAGCAGGCAAGCACAACCGACAGCCAGAAACCGTTCCTACTCTCCAGAACAAGGCGACCTTTAAGCTTAAGTTTCTCGGAGAAATGAGATGCTGATGTTGAAGACGACACTATGGTAAGCTGTTCTTTAAAATCAGTAAAAGACCAACTTCAGAATTTTTTTCTGTTTTTTAAGAAAAAGTGAACGTTAGGATCGAATATGTATTCAATAGCAAGTGCATGCACCAGAAATTTGCTGCAGTGTCAGTTGGGGGATTTCTTTCTAATATCCATTCACTTTGTAAATATGCACATCGTTTTTCTTTAGAATCAGCACTGAAACATACACGACAACATCATTTTGTAAAATGTGAAGTTTAAAGGTATGGTGTTGGTCTGGATTTTTCAAATGCCTTAAAATGTTTTACAAGGATATATGTATCCTAAAAAGACAAAGATGAAATTTCAAAGTACTGCTTTAAGATCTAAATAAAATTTCACCCTACACACACACACACACATACACACACACACACACTATTACATTACTGCAGAGATTTAAAAAACATCTAAAAACAGAGACATGACAGCCATTTTTTCCCATCTGAGAAAAGATTATGAAAAATAATAATACCTTAAGATTCCAACTCTTTATTTGCAGAGAATGTCATTTTATAATGTTAAAGCTCTGGGAAGATGAATAAGGAGGACTATGGTTAAAAAAAAAAAAAAAGAGGTAAAAAAGGGGGTGAAATGAAGGAGCGCAGAGGGAAGAGAGTCTCTCTCTCTACCACATAGCTCCAATTGAAGGATTAAGCATTTGGACTATAAATGAAGGGGAGCTTTGTTAGTTTAATCACTGGAACAATTATAAAAGGACTCAACAACAACGAGGTTTATTGAAAATTTTGCCTAATGCTAACTGACCCAAGCAGATGCCTAAATTGTATTTGCATATTAAAAGAAGGGTGTATCTGTTTATTTCCAGGCTTTGATGGAATATCAGATATTGAAAATGTCTCCCTGCCTGTTCATCCTTCTGTTTCTCACACCTGGCATTTTATGCATTTGTCCTCTCCAATGTATATGCACAGAGAGGCACAGGCATGTGGACTGTGCAGGCAGAAACTTGACTACTTTACCATCTGGACTGCAAGAGAATATTATACATTTAAATCTGTCTTATAACCATTTTACTGATCTGCATAACCAGTTAACCCAATACACCAATCTGAGGACCCTCGACATTTCAAACAACAGGCTGGAAAGCCTGCCTGCTCAGTTACCCCGGTCACTCTGGAACATGTCTGCTGCTAACAACAACATTAAACTTCTTGACAAATCTGATACTGCATATCACTGGAACCTTAAATATCTGGATGTGTCTAAGAATATGCTGGAAAAGGTTGTCCTCATTAAAAATACACTAAGAAGTCTTGAGGTTCTCAACCTCAGTAGTAACAAACTTTGGACAGTTCCAACCAACATGCCCTCCAAACTACATGTCGTGGACCTGTCTAACAATTCCTTGACACAAATCCTTCCAGGAACATTAATAAACCTGAGAAATCTTACACATCTTTACCTGCACAACAATAAATTCACATTCATTCCAGATCAAGCTTTTGATCAGCTCTTGCAGTTACAAGAGATAACCCTTTACAATAATAGGTGGTCATGTGACCACAAACAAAATATTACTTACTTATTAAAGTGGATGATGGGAACAAAGGCCCATGTGATAGGGACTACCTGTTCTAACCAAATATCATCTCTGAAGGAACATAACATATATCCCACACCTTCTGGAGCTACTTCAAGCTTCTTCACTGTCAATGGGATGCAGACAGTGGACACCACTAACTCTCTGAGTATGGTAACTCAACCCAAAGTGACCCAAATACCCAAACAGTATCGAACAAGGGAAACAACGTCTGGTGCCACCCTAAGCAAAGACACTGCCTTTACTAGCACCGATAAGGCTTTCATGCCCTATCCAGAAGGTACATCCACAGAAACGATCAAATCACAGGAAGCAGCAGCTGCAACTCTAACTATTCATCTCCAAAATGGAATGGTTACAAACACAAGCCTCACTAGCTCAACAAAACCATCCCCGACACCTATGACCCTAAGTATCACTAGTGGCATGCCAAGTAATTTCTCTGAAATTCCTCAACAAAGCACAACCCTTACCTTACGGAGGGAAGAGACAACCACAAATGTAAAGACTCACTTACCTTCTGTGGCATGTGTCTGGAAAGTAAACATTTCATTTCTCTTAATGCTCAATGCTGTGGTCATGCTGGCTGTCTGAGGGTATTTTCTGAAATTAATGAAAGAACTCCTCCCTGATGTACAGTTGGGAAAATATGCCCCTATCTAACCAGTGATTCAAGCTGTATTAAGTATTCAAGAAAGCCAGTCTTACATTTCTGATTCTGATATAAATGAAGTTAACTTGTCTTAAATAAAAGAAGTGCACAATGTCTTGGTACTTGCTGCTATTTTACAGTCTTAAGTAAAACTAATGAATCTCTTCTTTTTTTTAATGAAATGTTTTCTTTTTAAGGCTTCAATTTATTGCACAAAATATAAAGCATCTAAACTTTAATATGTATTTTATGTATGTTTACACTGTCACATCTGGGAAAAAAAATAAAAGGTCTATGCTCATAACTGTGTCATTTGGCTTTCTAGTCATACCAATTTAACCTACCCAGCAGAATCAAATTGATCTAACCATTTCTGTACTAGGGTACCTTAATAACGTCTTTAAGGTAGAGGACATGTTGGAGGCATCCAAGGATGTTGCCACTAAAGTAAAACTGTGGTTGCCATCCCATGAATGGTTATGACCACATCACTATTTTACACACAAGCCATAATTGTTTTAAATCTAAATGATGTCCTGCTTCTGAGGAACTCTTGGCTACTTTACAGATTATATAATGGACAAAAGCTCTTCAAAAGGCCAACAATAGGCTTCGCATTTAATAAGAAATTTTAATGGCTTTGTTTTTTGCATTTAAGATAAGTATAAGAAACACATTAAAATGAAAAGTATTAGTCTAAAGAAATGTAAAGGAGCAATTTTAGTGCATATTTAACAAATGATACATTAATGAAAATTTTAAGTATTAACAAATTAAAAGCCTGTTATGTGCAGAAGAGGAAAAATTGTCATTTGCACATTAGAAGTCAGAATGTGATTTATCTAAATTAAAAATAAGATTAGGATAAAACTGTGGGTTCTGACAAATACGGGGTGGGCTGGGCAGTACTGAGGAAGCAGAGGGGAGAAAAAGGAGAGAGGGATGGACGTGATTCATTTGGTGCACAAGCAGGTAAGGAATCCAATAAAGCAGACCACAGGACTAGGACTGACTAAACCAAAGCCACTGCTGTCGAGTGGATTCCAACTCATAGCAACCCTATAGGACACAGTAGAACTGCCCCATAGAGTTTCCAAGGAGCAGCTGGTGGATTCAAACTGCCAATCTTTAGCAGCCAAGTCCTTAACCACTAAGCAACCAGGACTGACTAGGGCACTCCAAATCAAACTACACGGGGACTCCAACTACAATATAAAATATATGAAAGTAAGCCACTTTATGAATTAGTGACAAACATAAGCAACAGACAAAAATCAGAAACAGAAATCTTGAAACAAAGCTAGGTTAAAATGCAAGAAAGCATAACTGAAGTGGGTGAAGCCACAAATGAGGTATTTAATTTGTGAAGTATATGAAAGAATCTAATCTCAAGCATTCTCAGATTTGGGAAAAGAGTACAGAAAGAAAATTTCATATGCTCCTTCACAAGAAATTTTAAAATTAAGATAACCTTCTTTCAGGGTTTGGGAACACTTCTATTCAGAGAGAAAAGTTAATAACCTTCTTACATGTATTTTTTTTTTTCCTTTTTAAGGACCAGGCTTGTGAAAAAGTTATTATTAAGCTTCGGTAAAACAACTCCTGTCTCATGCTATCTAGTGCAGTGGCTCTTGAACATTTTTCTGCCCCAGAAAGCCTAAATGGCTCACTATGTCAGGGAATCTCACCATGAAGAAAAGGGGTAGTCTGAAAAAGTCTCCAAAAAGCAAGCTGTCCCCACTCCTTCCCAATCACTGATCTAGCACCTTCGTCATCCATGATAGAGGCTAACTGCTTAGATATTCACTACTCTACCACACCCTCTTGGTTAACTTTAAAAACTATATATCTTGAGTGCCATAGAAAGTAGGTTACTTAGAAGTAACTGTCTTTCACTTTGAGGGTGCCAAAAATTCAACACTGTCTTAGAAATTCTATGGGGAAAAGTGACAACGTGAAATTATGGATCACAGCATTAGCAGCACCTATGGATTATGCCAATCTCACTGACATGTCTGCAAAATGCAGGGGGAAAGCTTGGTAAATTTTCAAGTACAGTGTATGTCAACTACTCAGACTCTAAGTTCTCAGAAAGAAGTATTATCTAGCCTTAAACAAATTAGATAATACTTCCTTCTAAGGAAATTGTGTTCTAATCATTGTTAATGGAGGAGGACTCATTATTTGCCATTAAGACAAGTACTACTATATTACTGGGCTCCACAAACATTTTAAAACATGCTAGTCCTCAGCATCTATCTATCAAGCTCATCAGAAGTATCTTAAACACTAAGTTACTTAATCAGTGTGTTCTGGTGCATAAAAAAGAGTAGCGTAGTTGGCACACAGTGGACAAGCCATACACTGTTGCTGTCGAGTGAATGTTTAAGGTATTGTGCAAATTTAAATAAGAAAAAGAACTCATACAATGTGCTTTCTAAAGTAAGACTGGCAATGAATGAACAACCTGCAGAATTAATGTAACTGCACATGTAATTTCGAATGTCAATGGTTCTTAACATTACAGTCAAATCAATTTATTTTTTTCAGAATAACAGTAATCAATAGTTGCTTATGAAGTCCTAAAAGAGATGGTAGTATTACACATACACACACACACCCCCATCCCCAAAGTGGCTTGGTTGTATTTTATAAGTAACTTTTGTTTCTTGGTAAACAGGATACTCACCAGTCAGGACGCTCCAGATAAAAGCACAAATAAAAAGCAAATACAATGAGGGACAGAGTAGTGGTGAAGGGTATGTGCTCTGGTGTCAGAGGATCCAGGCTTAAATCTTGCTTCTGCACTTCTAAGCCATACAACCCTGGATAGTGCTCTAAAGTCACAGTTTCCTCATCTATTAAATGGGCACAGCAGAACTTATCTCATAGTGGCTTTTTTCTGAGAATTAAATAACATTATTCGTGTGAATCTTATCACTGTGTCTTGGCCCACCCACATTCCTATGTGCAGTAAAAGCTGCTGTTGTTAGAATTATTATTATTACATCTGTATATCCAAGCCTAGTGCTATGAAACTGACTGAATTCTAGATGGTGGAAGCATAGGGAATTAAATAAAGGATGTTTGCTTCAGTCCCTGCTCCTCCACCTTCTAGAACTGAGCTTCAGATACAAGTTTAGCAAGGACCCAGAAAATAAGGGAAACATTAGCTTATCACAGCAAAGTGAAAAGATGTCTTCTCTGGCTAACTTAAAAGATTACAAATATATGCTACTCAATAATCTTTCATAATAATGCTGTGAAGCAATAGCAAATTCCTTGAACTGACACCAAAAATGTCACACACAAGTCAACCTAAAACTCTCATAAGATTATTCCTTATAAAATACATTTTAAGAACTAGGTAAGGAATGACATTATGTACTGCAAACCACAAATAAATATTATACTTAGCAGTGAAAATTAAGTTATATTTCTATAAAATCAGAACCACAACAAGAATGAAACAATTGCCAATCTTTTTAACATTATTTGGGAAGTTCCATGACAAGAAACAGAAGAGATATGATCATATTAACAGATGAAATAATTGTTTGTCTATCCAAAGGATTCTTCGGAAAACTTTCAGAAGAATAATTTTAAATAGCTAACAACAAAATAAATGTGACAATATCAATGGTTTTCTCATATGCTGGCAACAAATAATCAGAAAAGCGGGTAGGGGGGAAGATACCATCTACAACAGCAACAATAACCCAAAAGATACAATTCTAAGAGATAACGTTCACATGAAATGTACAGGGCCAAATGGGGAAAAGCTAAAAAGCATTAATCACAGGTATAAACCAAGACTTGAGGAGAGGATAAATGAAGGTCTCTCCATTCATTAAGTCAACAAATCTTTTTTCAGCACCTGGAAAGTACCAGGCATAAGGCACAGGAGACACACTTTGATTGGATACTGTAAAAACGCAATTAACTCCAGTATAATTTATGGATTAAGGCAACTCCGATAAACATTCCAATGAGATTCTTTTTAGGACACGACATAAAATACTTAAGTTCATCTGGAAAAACAAACTAGCAAGAACAGAAAAAAGAAGAAACAGAGGCATCCTAGCCTTTAAGAGGGAAACATATAAGCTATAATAATTAAGACAGAATGGTAACAGCATACGAATAGAAAGGAAGATAACAATACTGAAATGATAGCACAATTATAGCACAGTGCACATAAGAACTCAATATATGATAAAGTTCTACTTAGTTGTATAATCTTGAGCAAAATTAGCTCTCTGTGCTTCCATTTCCTCACAGGGTTGTTCTGAGGGAATAAAATGAGATAATACATATAAATTGTTTAAAACAGTGCCTAGAACTATTAACTTCTCAAACATTCTTAGATTTAAAATCCAAACCCACTGCGGTCAAGTTGAATTCTAACTCATAGCAGAACTGCCCCACAGGGTTTCCAAAGCTGTAAATCTTTATGGAAGCAGACTGCCACATCTTCCTCCCGAGGAGCGGCTGGTGGGTTCAAACCGTCAACCTTTTAGTTAGCAGCCGAACACTTTAACCACTGCACCAGCAGGGCTCCCTATAAACCCACTGCCATGGAATCAATTCCAACTTAAAGCGACCCTACAGGAGAGAGGAGAACTGCCCCATAGGGTGTCCAAGGCTGAACTCTTTACAGAAGCAGATTGTCACATCTTTCTCCCTAGGAGTGAGTGGCTGGTGGGTTTGAACTGCCAACTGTTTGGTTAGCAGCTGAGTGCTTAACCATTGCACCACTAGGGCTCATTATTCTTCGATTTAGGGGAAAAAAAATCAGAACTCAAAGAGGAAGGGAAAGATTCAATAAACAGTGCTAAGAAAATTGGAAAATAATGAATTAAAAAAGGAAGTTGTTTTAGGCTGGGTTCTCTACAGAAGTAAAACCAGTAAAGCATTTTAACCATCACAAAAGTTGTAAGACCAGCAGAATAATTTTTAAGAATTTACAAATCTCCAGGGCAGAAGGCTTTTTTTTTCTTAATTAGAAGAAGGAAAAAAAAAACAACACAAAGAAATCATCAATAAATTTGTCAACACAAAACTCCCAGATTTCTTTATACTAAAACAGCTAACCTGATAAAAAACATTCAAAGAGAATACCATAAATAAGATTGTTTATCAGAAACTCAGAAAATTGATAAGAAAAATACTGAAGATACCCAATGGAGAAACGGGCAGAGGAAGAAGAAAAAAAAAAAAAAAAAAAACAACGTTTACAAGATAGGAAACATGATGATTAGTAAATATATGGGAATACTGCCAACCACAAAATAATTCAGAAATGCAATAAAAAATGTGATGCCATTTCTTACTATTAAATCAGTAAACAACTTTTAAAAAGGTAATGAAAATCAATGCTGGGGAAGGTATATTAAAATGGCCACATTTACATACTGGCACAACTCTTCTGGACAGCAATTTGGCAATAACTAAAAAACTAAAATATTTTAACCTAGTAAATTCTAGGTAAATCACAGCGTTCTTTCTAACAGCAAGAAGAAAATGGAAACAATGTTAAATATCTACCATTAGGAAATCTGTTAAGTAAACGGATGATTCACTGACCAGAATATTATATAGTTATTAAAAATATTTATGAAGAATTTTAAGTTTAAAATGTGGGAAAATATTAGATAAAAACGACAAGATATAAACATACATTCTATAGAATTATGTATAAAAACAACAAAAAAGCATACCAAAATATTAACACTGTATACCAAACGTGTTTTATTTCCTGCCTCTTCCTTGAAAGATACAAGGGATATAAGAAAAGAACTATTAAAATAGCTGTCCAAGGGGTATAGATTGAGTAGGAAAACAAAGAAATGAGAATACAAACGAACTGTGAATAGAAGAGATGGTCAAGAAAC